CACCTGAGAGAGGGGCTGGCACCATAAAATATGCATGGGCCCTTCTGCAGCAAACAAATCTACTTAATTGAAAGGAATGGGGAGGTGAAAAATGAAACTTGGCAGTTCAGCTTCGCTCCACCATTTGGTGGTTGTTGTGGGACTCCAGCAAAGGGAGCTATCACTGCGGGCATAATTTACTTGATTTTAAGGATCCATATGAATTCTGGCGACATACCAAGTAGCCATTAGCTATGAGGAGTGGTTCCCGATGCTCATTTGTTTTCCATGTGTGAATTTTCACTCTTCCAAACTTTCTTTAGAAAAAATAGTACTTTTTCTTCATCAATTCCATGTGGAAAATAAAACAAAAATACAGATAATAAATTATTCAAGGAACACAACCGATTTTTTTTTTTAATGGAAAAATACTGGTTCTAGAATCAAACTGGCAGCTTGCTTTGATTTTGATAAGTGTTAAGTTTTATGTTAAGTGTTATAAAATGATATGCTTGTTCACATGCTCAGGCATAGGCTTTCTGTGCAAATTATCCTAAATAGGGTAACTCAATAGCAAAGTAGGCAGGTTTATAATGCTATTACTATTAGGAAAATACCTTTAATATGAGACATATGCAGGATGCTATTACATCAGTAGGCTGCATTTATTAAGTATGCAGGAGCAGCCCAGTGGATCAGAGCAGATATACTGGGACTGTAACACATGTAACTTGGCTTAGTCTTGGGGTCAAAATCTGTTAATGCAATTTTCTGTATAAGAAGAAGAATTTAAAATCCATGTGGTTTTAATGACACATTCAAGATTGGGGGTGTATGGGGGTGTTGATTTTGTTGCATTTTTTTGTTCGTCCTACTCACATTAAATGAGAACTTCTTTGAAATTTGTGTGTCAGACACTGAAACTAATCTGTGAAATAAGACCAAAAAAAATCTTTTAATTTATTTGCTTTAAAAGTTTAATTTTGGCCTAGTTATGTTTCAAATTAAAAATACTATTAGTAATAATTTGCATTTACTTATTGAAGCATTACATGATAAACCAGAACCATGTGTCAAAATGTAACTCTCATAAACTAAGTGCACTGAGATAATGGGACTTCAGAGATTTAAAAAATCAATGTGACACTCAAGACATCTAAAAATAGGTGCCTGCCTTAAAAGGCAGTGTTTCTATTTCAAATAATTAATATGTTTTGATTTCTTCATTTTTGTGGTCTTGTAGCACAACTTATATCTAAGGCACTATGTTGAACATGCATACTTTGGACTGAGCTCTAGTTTGTGTCTATTTAACAGCTACTCACAGCTGTCTCTGCTTTGAAAGATTGGGATAAAAATTCTTCCCAAACTCCAGTCAATGCAAAGCACTGGCATTATTTAGAGTGGCTCTGCCCAGGCAGGGTCCAGGCAGCTGCTTGCCCATGGCACCCATGTCCCTTCTGTCACCCAGGTGTCCCTGCACACTGTGCCACCACTGCACATGACATCCTGGGGAGGCTTTTCCTGCTGAGTGGGTAACCTGCAGCTCATCTGGTTAATATACAGATTTGTATTTCAAGATTTGCTGCTAATTTAACTGTGCAAAACACACCTCACTGTGTTTTTACATTACTCACTGTAATGCTAGGAAATAATGTAAAAATGGTAATTTGCCTTTTTCTTGGTGTACTAAGGAGAAGGAGACTGGTCACTGGTCTGGGTCTGGAAATATTTTATCAGTGTAAAATGGAAGCATAGGATGGGGAAGGTTTCTTGACTTTGCTTACTCAAAAAGTTAAGGAAATAGTATGTTAAAGGAAGACTTTTCATGAGGTCAGCGTTAGACTCCTTTTGCACTGCTCAGAAATGCAAAGTTTATTGCTGTAACAAGCAAGACAAAAAGGAACATTTTGAAAGCATGAGGCAGCATACATTGACAAGAGGGTATAAGACCCCTTTGGTGCAGAACAACAAACACTTGCCACCACTTGCCTCCATGTCAGAGGAGCACCCCAGCACCTGAGCAGTCCACCAGTATATGAAGGATAATGTGTTTTTAATGAAATACCTGCTAAAGAGTTATGATGATGACGTCTCTTTACTTCCAAACTGTAATTTTACTTGAAATTTAATGTTAAGGGTTTTTCTCTGACCCCACTAATTTACATGCATCCTGGTCAGATGTTTTAACCTAAGAGCCCCATCAGATCTCCTGTGCAGAGCTCACTGGGGACTGAAGGTTGTGCAGGTATGGGGCATGAGCTGAGCAGATTAAGTTACAGCAGGGATGGTGAGGGGTGTGAGGTGATCAGGTAAATTGCCAGGTAGTGATAAATCAGGTGCTGGGTCTCACCATAACATATATGGAGTGTGTCTGTAAATCTGCATAAATGCGCCTAGAGAGGCAGGATTCACTGGACACACATACATGTTTATTTACATCATACATGTACATGTGTACATGTACACACATAAATATATGTTTATATACAGCATATACCCACCTGAGCTGTAGTTTCGGTCCTGGCACCCTTGTGCCACATTCTGTTTGACCCTGTGATGATGATGGACTCTTCCAGAGGGTTAATTGTGTGTTTTTGAAGAAGTAGTTGTTCTTTTTTTTAAAACCCTGTTCCTGGACACAGCCCCTAGAGCTTTACACATTCAAATGGTGTATTTTTATGGCCAACTCTGCTGAGCTACTTTTTTGACACTTTTGACATAAAACCTCTCATTTCATCGACTGTACCTGTAAAATACTTGTACAAATTTTAATTATACACCTAGCAATTAGGATATTAACTTAAATCATTATACATTTAATTTATAAACTTAATATGTGTTAATGGCAACAGCAACAAAGAGACACATGCATAAGAAATTAGAATTAATTGCTCTGTAGTACAGATGACTTATGCTGTTCCAAGAGGCGAGCTGGTGCTGGGAGAGGCAGACTCATTGCCAGCAGATAGAACTTTTACACAAAGAAAATTAAACTTGGGGTTTTTTTAACAACTGTTCCTTTTCACTTTTTCAGTGAACTCCATGTCTCTGTTTTATGGTGCAGCAGGCCTGGCTTTCCAAATTTCATTCCTCTGGCTTGTAATGCCAGAATCATACTCCTATCTGTGTGAATAAGGCATTTTCTCAAAGAACAGGCTTAATAGCTAGAGTCAGTCTTCCAGATGGATTGTAAAACTCTTTGAAACTACTCCACTCAAAGGATATTATACTCCTGGAGCTGTATGTTTGTTTTATTATTAACAGAGATTTCTAACTCAAAAACATAGAAATGCTGCCTACTTCTGAAGCAAACTGACATGTGAAGCCGTGCTAGATCTCAGCTGAAACAAAACTTAATTTATCACTCCCTAAATATCAAAGGGGCCTGAGGAGGAGTCATATCACATTTGGTCTTTTTAACTGAAAGACATTCTGGGTGAGTGAAAAGCCCATGTAGTTTTCCTTCACCCCTGATTGATAGGCATGGGATGGTGTCCTCCAGGCAGCTGATTTCAGCGCTTCCCTGGTCCAGCCCCTGCAACCCCAGCAGCAGCTCTGCAGGATGAGGAGCACTCTTGACACTGATTTTTCTCTTCTCATCTGCTCAGAGAGGGCCCTGCGCACCTCAGTCTGAGCTGGAGGCAGAGCATGGGGCTGGATTCACACTGAGGGTGACAGGGTGAGCTGCTGGCCATGGGGGCAGCAGTTCCTGGGTGCTCACCTGTGCCAACACCATCAGCACATCATGTCCAGCCCTAAGAGCCACACAATCACTGAATGGCCTGGCTTAGAAGGGACCTGAAAGGTGACCTAGTCCCAAACCCCCTGCCATGGACACCTTCCACTATTCCAGGTTGCTCAAAGCCCCATCCAACCTGACCTTGAACACTTCCAGGGATGGGGCAGCCACAGCTTCTCTGGGCACCCTGTACCAATGCCATATCCATGCAAAATATATATATTTATACATATGTATATGTATTTGGTCCTGTATATATATGTATATATAAAATGTAGAATGGTACAACTTTTGTGCATTGAAAGACCAAGCAGTCTGCCTGAATTTATCAAACTAGCCAATCTAATAATTCTCTCAAGAAGTCGAGAGAAAATTTAAAATGTTTCTGCACCATGCAAGCACCATCAGCCCTTTGGTGGGAACAGACCTGCTAGCACTGTTGGCCTTGTCCTCTACCAGGGTGTGATTTTCCTGTCTGAAGTCAATAATAAAGGTTCTCCCCAAAATTTCATTTGAGCTGATATCCAGAATGTGCCATGCATCTGAAAGATGGCTGCTCAGGAGAATGCATAGGTGAGATGGGAAGAGAAGAGCAGCCACTGTCTGCAGGCACCATTTTATTCCTTTGAAACATGAGAAACTGGAATTGTCCCTGTAAAACACAATTACAATGGCATCGCCATTATAATTTGTCAGACACCACCCCTAAGAGAAAAGCTAAGAGGATTTTTTAATCAGAATTTGTACAGGATTTTCTGTCATTCTTTAAGTAGATTCATTATTATTTTTTGCCCATAATTTGTATAAAGTACTTAGCATTCAAAACAGATCCTTTTTAACCTTTTGCCCAACTTGGCTTTTTGTACTTTTTT